CTCTAGCAATAAAAAATGAAAGGAGTATCTAACTTTCTCTCACTTTTTGTCTTTACTTTTTCTTTTTTCCCCTCTTTTCTTGTTTCTATTTTAAAACCTAAAGAAAGCACACTCTCTTCCAGTCTTCCTATTCAAAAAAACTCTTGGATTAACAACCATTCTTGTGCCAAATCGCTTGCACGAAGCGTATGCCAAATTAGAGTTTGGAGATCAAAATGCTGTGTGTGGTGTGTGTTTTTTTGTTTTTATTTCTTGTAGCAAAAATGTCAAATAAAAGTATGAATCTAGCTATGAAAATTTAAAGGAAACAAAAAGAAAAGAAAAGAAAAGTTGAAAAGTGATATGAGTATTGATAATTTATTTTAGGTTAGGCCTTTTTACTCATTTTGCTTCAGGCGTTAAAATCCCTTAACACGGCACTGCCAATCCACTTCATTAATCCCAGTCATTTTCCTTACATGGTTTCCACAATTGACTAATTCAACAATATTCTTTCTTCGGGTCGTTTTCTTTTGAAAAATTGATAAATAAAAGCCTTGTAAAAGAATTAATGTAAAATTAGGATTTCTTCACAACTATGTTTCCAAATTCATTATTCATTCTTCCATTGTTTTGTACTAAAACTTAAAAAAAAAATCTTGATTTGATATTAGTCTTTTTATGAGGTTTTTGCTTGTCATTCTCCCTCTTTTTTTCTCTTTTTGTTTATCCTGTCAAACACGGAACACTCTAATGCTTTCCTTTAATGGGTGTTAGTGTCAATTTTTAGTTAGAGGTCTCCTAGGCATATCTCACTTTGGGCAATTATTAAAAAAGGGGTTTGTTTTATGAAAAAGAACCAAAACAAACTTCATCAATGATATTGTATTTTCAAAATTCAAACTCTATACATATCTGGTTAAACTGGTATAGTCTTTTACTAAACCAAGCATTCAGTAGTATTGTCTATTTTAAAAAAGAAAAAAAACTTATATAATGAACCTTATATACTTAATATGCTTATTTTTTAATTAAATCAAGACATGTAGATATTTTATATATTATTTATTTTATAATAAATTCTTGATATTAATTTTATTACTATATTAAGATTCACTTATTATAATTTAATTGTATATAAGTATATTAAGTATATAAGAGTAAGGATAAACTCCCTTCGTTAAAAAATGTAAGGTATTTTTTGAAGAATTGGATGTTAAAAAAATATAAGGCATTTTTAATCTTTTGAGGTGTAGTCATTGCCTTTTTTTTTCTCAAAAGTACCTCTATTGATAGTAACTTTCTATTTATTATAAGGTGTTTAATAGGGGTAAATATAAAAAGATGGGGTTAGTTTGAAAGTAGGTAATTATTTTATTGGGAGATGAGATTTGATTAAAAATACTTTACATTTTTGAATGGAGGGAGTAAGTCTTATCCTTTTAAAAAAATATTAAATTCCTGAAAATTCTGGAGGGAAAAGAGGGTAGGGTGGTTTCGGAGAAAAGAAAAGGCAGAGATTGTGGGGAAAGGGAAGTAAACTAGTGAGTCACAAAGAGAGTTGAGAGACCCACAACTACAGTTGTCGTCCATGAAAGAGACAAGTCAACAAACAACCACCCCTTGTCGACCAAAGACCCAAATCCCCTTCCTCGCTCTCTTTTCATATCTTTCACAAGAATCTAATAGGGAAATGACAATTAGGGACCCCTTAAAGGCTGAGATGTTTGGACTTAAAAACTAATATATAATTAAAAAAGAATTTATAAACTTAAATTTTGAGATTTTAAATAAGAAGTGATATTCTTTCACTTCTCTTTGCCCATTATTTTTTTCCTGTCGTTTTTGAGTAATTGCTCTCCATTCCTAACATTATTATAACTATATATTTTTTGTACCAAGTACTAGATTAACTATAAGCTACTACTATGGTCCTTATTAATAGCCACATTCTAAAGCAATAAATATTCCTTATTACAAGTCACTTAGAAAAAATTAATTAAGTTTTTTTTAATATTTATCCTATTTAATTGATCTTTTTATCAAAACAAAAACAAAAACTATATGAGAGAAAATGCAATGCAAAAATTTTCATTTAAATATGGGTAAAATAAAAAAAATTATTCTATTTTCAAACAAAATTATTGATTTAATCATTTTTCTTGATTTATGTAAGGTCATTAGAGATATCTTATCTATAATCGAGATCCAATTTTCTTATGCATGTTTGAAGTTGTAAGAAATTGCTTGGTTATTATTTGCTTAGAGTGACATTCTATATGGGATGGAATCCTTCTTATGTTCATAATTAATAGATTTATATGATAAAAGATCATACCTATATATATTTTTCATTTTTTTATTTGTTAATGAGTCTATTTCTTGTTTTTTTTTTGGGTAAAGAATTAGTCCTTTTTTTTTCGTATGAAAGATGTTTGGGTCAATTTTTATTTTAAGCCATTCATTCATTTTATTTCACTATTTTTGGGAGACTAATCGAAACTATCTATTCTGGGATAAATCGTTTTGTTAATGACCTTGAATTGTTTTTTTCACCATACAGAATTGTTAATGACCTTTTATACAGAATTGGGAGCGCTGTTTTACTTTGGAATGAGATGATATATTTCTTGCACTAAAAAAAAATCCTTTACTTATTTCATAATGTAATAAAGTTGAATTGTCACAGCCAAGGCAGGACACAATAATTAGCACCAAAGCTAGCGGGTACTGTTGGTGTAGTTGAATTAGTCCAAGTCTTCTTTTTTAAATTTTAAGTCTTCGCAATTACTCTGGCCACTAAAATATGATCAGTTTATTTTTTACAAAATATGTACATTAATAAAATCATTACTTTTATAATATATATATATATATATATATATTGTGATTTCAATTATCAATGTATTTCATGATGATTGAGAGATAAATTTACACAAGAATTTAAGTTAATAAATATAAAAAATAAAATAAAAATAAATTTTTACATATATTAGATTGTTTATATTTTAAATCAGGATTAAAAAAATATTTATATTTTGAATTGATTAAAATTCACTTTTGAAATTTTTCAATAACATTTGTAAATATATAATAGTCACTTGAAAATTTACTAAAATCACTTCTAAATATGAATTCAATTATTTGTGAATTTTTATAGTTGTTAATATATAGGTAGACCACTTGAAAAAATTAAATAAATGACACTACTAAAATTATTATCATGGGATAAGAATATTGTTACTCTCAATTGGAAAAACAATGAACAATAGTTGGGAATGCATTGTTTGTCAATTTGAAACAAAAATTTACTTTTGAAACTTTCAAAGGACACTTGTGAATATACAAGTAATTACTTGAAAATTTACTAAAATTACTTATGAGGGGCATTCTACACTATTCATATTTTTTTAATTCCAAATAAGAACCATGGTCCATTATTGAAATTTCAATAATTTAGGATCCCTAATTGTAATTATTAGCCTTATGTAGTCCCTAATTATCATTTTCCCAATCTAATATCCATATGCTTGCATTATATATATAAACGTACATGTATATATTACATTAATATTGCAGGTGTGAAAGAAAGTAAAGTAGTAAATGGCAAAAAGATTTTGACAAGGGTAAGTTGTTATGTCTAAGTGTAAGTAAATTTAAGCTGAGGTGTTGAATTAAAAAGAAATTTATAAACTTGAATTTAATGTTTTAAATCAAGAAGTGGTATTCTTCCACTTCTTTTCGCCTATTTATTTTTTTTCTCATTTCTGATCACTCTCCATTCCTAACGTCAATATAACTATATACTTTTTGTATACCAAGTACTGAATTAACTATGAGCTACTACTATGGTCCTTGTTAATAGCACATCCTAAAAGCAATAAATATTCCTTATTACAAGTCACTTGAAAGGAATTAATTAAGTTTTTTAAATATTTCTCCTATTTAATTCATCTTTTTATCAAAACAAAAGCAAAGAAAATGTAATGCTAAACTATTCCATTTAAATATGGGTAAAATAAAAAATTTCTTCTCTTTTCAAACAAAATTATTAACCTAATCATTTTTCTTGATTTCTATAAGGTCATTAGAGATATCTTATATCAAGATCCAATTTGCTTATACATGTTTGGAGTTGTAAGAAATTGCTTGGTTATTATTTGTTTAGAATGACAATCTATATCGGCTTGAGTCCTTCTTATCTTCATTATTAATAGATTTATATGATAAAAGACCTTTTTTTTTTTTCATTTGTTAATCAGTCTATTTCTTTTTTTTTTGGGTAAAGAATTAATCCGTTTTTTTTCCTTCATGTGAATGATGTTTGGTTAAATTTTATTTAGAGCCATTCATTTATTTTATTTCACTATTTTTGGGAGACTAGTCTAAACTAACTATTCTAAGATAAATCGTTTTGTTAATGACCTTTAATTGTTTTTTCACCATACAGAATTTGTTGATGACCTTTTATACAGAATTGTGAGCGCTGTTTTACTTTGAAATGAGATGAGATATTCCTTGTATTGCCCCCCCCCCCCCCCAAAAAAAACCCCTTATTTCATAATGTAATAAAGTGGAATTGTCAGAGCCACGGCAGGACACAATAATTGGCACTAAAGCTAGCGGGAACTGTCGGTGCAGTTGAATTGGTCCAAGTCTTCTCTTTAAATTTTAAGTCTTCGCAATTACTCTGGCCACTAAAATATGATCAGTTTTTTTTTTTCTAAATATGTATATTAATAAAATATTTATTTTTAAAAAATATATTATTTTTTTATTTATAGTTTTAATTAACAATATGCTTCATGATGATTGAGAGATAAATTTACATAAAAATTTAACTTAATAAATACAAAACATAAAATAAAAAAATAAATTTTTACATGCATTAGATTATTATTATTTTAAATCAGGATTAATAAAAAATATTTATATTTTGAATTGAAAGAGTAACGGTTGAGACCTTATTCCACCTCGAGTCTCCCATTGGCATCTAGACAATGTGCCTTTAAAGCTATAATTAGCTGCCATAGCACAAAAGCATTCCTTTTCCTTATCCTTTCCTTTTTCTTCTTCCCGAGAAAGTAATCAAGATGGTGCTGAAGCAGCTGTTCCTTGTTATACTGTTAGCCGCAGCAGCAGCCATGGCAGCAGCTCATGAAGCTCTATCCCTTGATGGCTGTCCCGACAAGTGCGGAGCTGTGGACATTCCATATCCGTTTGGTGTCGGGGTACAACCTGGTACTTCTCGAAACTGTTTCTTGGATCTGTCATTCAATCTCACTTGCGACAACTCCACATCCACGTTATACTTCGGAAACTACCCAGTTTCTAGCATATCCCTCCAAGAAGGTCAAATGGACATTTTGACGCCTGTCTCCAAGCAGTGTTACCGAGATTACAATGATTCCTATACTAATCTTTACACCAAAGATTTCACCATTTCCAGCACCCGAAACAAGTTCGTAACTGTTGGCTGCGACGCTTTGAGCTTCATTGAATTCACCAAGAACAACTTCACTTATGCCAGCGGGTGTGTGTCGTTATGTGACGAACAACCTCATCAAAACAAGACTACGATGGAACTTGTCCGGGATTGGGTGTTGCCAATTGAATATTCCTGTGGGATTCAATAGCATCAGTTGGGTGCATCTTTTCGCCTATCCGAAAGTACCACGGTGTTGCCATTCAACAACTGTACTTATGCTTTTGTTGTCAAAGATGATTGGTTTAAATTCTCCTTTGATTATCTGTACAATTCCCAACGATAGCGTCCCGCTCGTCCTAAATTGGAGTGTGTCAAATGATACGTGTCCAATTGCTTCTACTAATATACCACGACTATGCCTGCAAACACAACACAGATTGTGTGAATTCTACTGATGGAATTGGGTACAAATGCAAATGCAAACCTGGCTTTCAAGGAAATCCATACCATCCACGCGGATGTTACGGTAATTCTATGCGTAATTCCAATATTTTCTTTATAAACATTTTCTCTTAATTATACTCTCTCTTGTCCCATTTTATAAGATATTTTTATAGGTGATTTAACGTCCTAAAATAGAAGACGTTTTGAAGGGAGTTGCAGGTTAACGATCGTTCGATTTATGGAACGACGGTTAGAGATTGTCATATAATATTTAGAAAGTAACAATTTCAAATTTGGAGGAAACAGTATATATATGAGGAGTATTTTAATCACGAAGATGGTTTTAAATTTTTGAAGAGAAATATATTTTGATAATTTTTAAATATTGATGGAAACTAATAACTATAATCAACACATTCATTGAGTAAGCAAACTTATGTCACTCACAGAATCAAAATTAATGATGATTATAATATAAGATATCCTTCATTATTTCACTCCTTACTCAAATAAATTTCCCCTTCTCTTATTAATAAAGGGTACTTTTAAAATTTTATAGAAAATTAAAATTGGAGATTGTATTTAATAATCTATATTATTGGTATATATAATTTATAAAAAAATCTTTAAATTGGGAGAAAGGGAGCAATAAATACTAATCGGTCCTGGTTATAAGACACTTTGGAAGTGATTCAATATCCTAAAATATAAAACAAAAATGAGGTTTCATTAATTATTACTTGTTCTAATATTAGCTTTCTTCTTTATTATGTTCTCTCTATTTAATGTTTCCACAAATAAAATTCTATTAAATATAGAATATTTTAAAAATTTATATTATACTTAAAATAATATTATAAAATGTATTTATTAATAAAAATTATTAATATGTACAATTTTTTAGAGAGTAAAATATAGTGATCTCCCTTTCTATTTGCTAAAATTTACAGAAATCTCCCCATTATTAACTTATTTTTTATTGATGATTATGTTAAAATTTTAAAGTTATTAATTTATCCACATGTTCCTATTGTCTATCCTCTCTCCCAATTAAAAACTTTAAATAATTAAACTTGTCAACATTTAAATAAATAATTTAATTTTTTAATATTAATGAAATTAAAAAATATAAACATAAATTATATTGAGTAATTTATTATATTAAATTCTTATATCATAAATTTGTTTATGAAAATATTTTTAAAATTTTTGAACTTCCGTGTTTGAATATTATTTAGCTAATTTATATGTTTAATTTTTAAACTCTTACTAAATGAATACACTTACATAATCAAAATTTTTAAAAATATAAATGAAAAAGTAAAAAAGTGCTTTATATTTTTTTTTGTGATAGTTTGGATGATTTTTAGACTATATATATATCTATATTTAAAGAGGGGTATTTTGGTCAAACAAATATGACTTAACTATCAACGAACAATTGGGTAGATGAAAATAAAATATTAAAAATAAGAGAATGCTTTTGTTTTATAATTATTTATACTAGGAGAGGTTTTATATAGTTTTTAAAATAGAAAAAAAGGTGTTTGTAATAAAGACAAAATAGAAGGAATGTCAAATTATTTTACTCTTTATTAAAAATTGTCTTTGCAATTGGGATGAATGGAATTATAGTTACTTTCTCTCACATTGCACCACACAATGCCATTGAAAGTTGCATTATTTACAAATCTTTATGAAAAGTTCTGCTTCTACTAACTTTTACTTCTTCTGGTTTTATTTTTAGTTACTTCAAGCATGTTTTACCAGATTTAAGCAAAATTTTAAACCTCATTAACTATGTTTTAAAATTTAATAAGTTTTCACTTCTACTTCTTCAAAAAATAATTATTTTTAATAATTTTTAATGAGGAAAAAAAAGAAAAAATGAATATAGAAAATAGTGAAGTGCTTTATAAATTATAGGACCAAAATTAATTCTCTCTATCATATAAATAGGATTTTGAGAGTATTTATATTCACCCATGGATAGTATTTATTAATATTAATACTAATACTCTTTTCTTCATTTCAGATGTTGATGAGTGTCGCGAAAACAATGAATGCAGCAATCAATGCCACAATTATGATGGTAGCTACCGTTGTTCTTGTCCGCATGGATACAAAGGCGACGGCTTCAAAAATGGAACAGGCTGCACTCAATCTAATCATAGCTTCCTTATTCTTATTGCCTTAGGTGAAATACGATCAACGACTCTAGCTCTTTTGTTTTAGTTTTTAAATATTTTTGGGAATCAGTTTTAACAATAAAAAATTTCATCATGAAACAGTTTTAACAATACTGGCATACCATTTTTTAGAAGTGCTAACGTAGTCCCTGTCTGTTTGAGCTCTATATATATCCCAATTATTTCTTTTCATATTATTCAAAGCCCCATTTTATTACTAAAAGGCTCATTCATGATGGATTTTGGATTATAAGAGATAATTATAAACAAATAGAAGATGATTTAGTAATCATTACTAAAATTTAAAATTCAAAACATTTTCCCTCCTCAAATCATATGTTGGACTACATTATATATTGCTTGCAGGTGTTAGTGTAGCTTTATTGGTTGTTTTCACACTAGTCTCCACATTATGTTGGGCACACAAGCAAAGAACTTTGAAGCAAATCAAACAAAGAAATTTCGAGCAAAATGGAGGCAACATGTTGCTACAACAACTTTCACAACAACATGAATACACTGAGAGGACCAAAATATTTATAGAAGATGAGCTTAGCGATGTCACAAACAACTTTGATGAAGGCAAAATTCTTGGTTGAGGAGGACAAGGCATAGTTTATAAGGGCATATTACCGAACAATACCTCTATTGCCATTAAGAAGTCAAAAGTAGGAGGGGATCCTAGAAAATTAAGGATTTTATCAATGAAGTCTCTGTACTTTCTCAAATTAATCATCGGAATGTGGTTAAACTTTTAGGGTGTTGTCTTGAAACTGAAGTCCCTTTGTTAGTATACGAGTTTGTTGACAATGGCACTCTTCTTGATCATATTGATCCTTTGAAGAATGAGTTTTCTATTTCATGGGAGGCTCGATTAAGGATAGCTGCAGAGACTGCTGAGGCTATTTCTTATTTACATTCTTATGCTTCCATTTCAATTATTCATCGAGACATCAAATCTACAACATACTTTTAGACCATAATCTCACGGCAAAGGTGTCTGATTTTGGAGCTTCAAGATTTGTTCCTCTTGATGAAACTCAAGTTACCACTATGGTACAAGGGACACTTGGATACTTGGATCCAGAGTACCTCCAAACAGGTCAATTGAATGAGAAGAGTGATGTTTATAGCTTTGGAGTTGTGCTTGTGGAGCTACTCATGGGGAAAAAGGCGGTTCAATTTAGTAGGTCAGAACAAACAAATTTGACCATGTACTTTATGTCTTCAATGAAAGAAGATCGCTTGTGGGAAATTATTGACAAACGAGTGTTAGATCGAAAGAATGCAAAGCAACTAAAGGAAGTAGCCTCATTGGCATTGAGGTGTATTAGAGTGAAAGGAGAGGAGAGGCCCACTATGAAGGAAGTAGCAAGGGAGCTAGAGGGTCTGATAGCCATGGAAACACATCCTTGGGCAAAGGGTGAAGATCTTATGTCAGAAGAAAGTGAATACTTACTTGGCCATGTGCCAAGTGTGGATGGGGAAACTGGTGCTAGCACTTCAGCTTTCTATTTTAACATACAAAAGGAGATAATCGCAATAGAGATTGCAGATGAACGATGATGATTAATTTGGTATTCATATAGGTTGTTTTTCTATCCTTATACTTTCATAGTTTCTGCTAATTGTACGTTTGAAGCACCTTTTGATGGATGTTGTGATTATGCATGTATTCAATTGGCTGGATTTTGAAGCATTATAGAGTTCTTTAAGCTAATTTTCTATTCACTCATGCAAACTAGCTAGCTAGGTAGACTATGTCAACAAATAAAGATGTTTGCTGGTTTGGATGACTCAACAAGTTTTTTCTTGGATATTTTTAGGAAAACGTGATTTTGATTTTATAATTGATTTAAACATATAATAGGAGTGTTTGGATATATGTTTACAAAACCATACTTTTGACCTCTAAAATTGATTATTATTTAATTTGTATCCAAACAGGTATTTAGGGCACGTTTGAATATCCGTTAAAAAATTGATTATGAAAAATTTATTAATATAATTGATTTTAAATAGAATTGATTATATTATGTAGTATAATTGATTTATAAAATTGATTCTAAGCAAAATTGGAAAGTAGAATTGAAAATTAAATTAGGTATATCCATGGTTTTTGTGAAAATATATCCAAACACCTATTACATGTCAAAATCAATTATAAATTTAAAATCATGGTTTTGTTGCAAATATCCAAATACCAATTATATATGCCAAAATTAATTATAAACATAAAATTATAATTTTCTAAAAAATATTCAAACAGCTCTTTGCATGCCAAAATCAATTATGAGTTCAAAATCACAGTTATTTCATAAGCTACTGTATATTACATCCTTTTCAATTCATCTTTTCTGAAAATTTATCTAATAATCATATATAATATTCTATAAATTATGTTTTTGGGTTTATAATTGATTTTGACATGTATAAAAGTATTTGGATTAAAGAAAATAATAGTTTTTGGTTCATAATTGATTTTGAGATATATAATGAATATTTGGATTTTTAAAAAAATATTTTTTTATTTCATAATTAATTTAAACATGTAATAATATGGGTTTTTTGATAT